ACCAGAGCCTCGTCGTTAAACCCGGTCAGAGGAGCATATTCGTTGAAGCGAATGAAGAAGTTGGCGAAGCTTTCCTCCGGCATCTGCTTCATCCAGGCTAACCTCCTCCTTGCCTCGTCCGCCTCGTCGATGGGTCCGAATTTGGAACCGAACTCTCGTTTGAATTCTGTCCAGTCTTCGAGACAAGTGTACTCCCCCCTCAGTCGTTGCCGATTCAACGTGTCGAAGTGGGAGAGTGCTGCACCAGTGAGATGACTAGCTGCGGAAGCGCACTTGTCCTTTTCCCGAGCATAGATGGTAGGTTGTACTCCAAACATCCTTTCCAAACTGAGGACCCATGTCTTCCATGCGGACCGGTCGTCACCTGCGAAGCTTTCGATCTTACCGACGTCGAGCTTCGACTCAATGGTAATCCGATCTTTTTCTTCATTGCTCTCCCACGTACTTCGTCCCTCGTTGGGAGGTCTAGGAGCTGCCTTACGGTGCCAACCTTGTCTTGGATCATAGTACCAGGGTTGGTCCGGGTCATAGCGTGTTGGAGGTACGTCAGGAGCTCCAGTGGGGAGCTCTCCTGTCCTCCTCTCTCCTTCCACCATTCCTACTCGATTAGTTCTGTTCCCCCTCGTTGGAACCTTCCGAATTACTATCACCCGGTCCCCGGAAGGTGGTGGAGGAGGAGGAGGCGGAGGTGGTGCCCCTCCCCTGCTCCTTCCTGCCTGTTCTCTTTGACCCTGTCCCCCTTGACTCAGAGGTCGTTCTCGATCTCTCGATTGACTAGAAAAATGTGGGGGAGGTACTCTAGGAGGGGGGTTAAAACCGCCTTTGCCTCCTCCCTCGTTTTCCAACGCGTATGCTCCTCCTTCTGGTCTCCCATACTCCCCTAGTTCAGCTCTTTGCACTCGGGCTCCCCACTCGTGAATACGTCGTCGGTCCACACTCGGAGTATCCGGGATCTGTCCTGCTTGTTCTACCTGGGGGTTTCCATCCTTAGCTCCTGTAGGAGTGTTTCGGTTAAAGGATATTGGTTCCGTAGCTTGCCAGCTCCTTGGCTGGGGAACTACAGGAGAAGGATCCCCCCTCGTATATTCTCTCATTACCCTAGGTGCTCGCCCGGATAATCCCGCCGTGTTTCCTGTTTTGGAAAGGGGTCCTCCAGTCGGTACTTCCCCTGCTGTGAATCCTTTCTTTACCTCACGGAGTTGTTCCTGGAGCGTCTCAATGACCCGAGCCTGTTGTTGGATCATTGCTACCGATTCCTGAGAGCGTGCCGACTCGAAAGCCATGCCAGGTCGGTTCATCTGAGCTCCCGTTACAAAGGGAGTTCCAAAAGGAGCTCCCTGCAGGGGTACCGCCTCTTCGTGAACTGCCAACGTTCTTCGTTGGTTCGGACCCCTTTGACTTTCCGTTCCCACTGCCTGAGATTGCATCGATACCGACCCTTGATACGGAATGACTGATGGATTGCTCAGTCTTGGAGGAACGTGTACAGGGTTGGGAGCCAACCGAGCTGTCAGATCTTGTCCGGAGATCCGGGATGAATGTTGTGCGCCATCCATCCTCACCTCACCAAACTGGTATCGCTGCGTCGAGACTGGGGTTAAAGGTTTCGTTTGCAGGTTAACTCTGGGGGGAGGAGTCGAATTTTGAGCCAAGGCATGTACAGTGGGGGAGGTCCCATAGCGTAACTGGGGGCTCCTCGTGGCCGTGTTACCGGGGTTAAGGAGTTCAGGAACCTCGATATTCCTGGGCGATGAATGTTTCTGTGCCAGGAAACGACCATCAGATCCATGGAGCTGCCCTTTCTGGTCAAATTGCTCCGGAGGGAACTCCCCTACGCTTTCGAGTTCACATTGAACCATATACGAGGTTCCCCGATTATCCGCGACCAGTCTGCGACGGAATTCCAAAGCTCTTTCTAGATTCGATCCAGAAAGTTCCTCCGACAGCATCAGAGTGTCTGATTCCGCTAGTAGCGTCCGGTGTCGGGTCTCCTGCAAACACAACATCGCTTCGGACTCCTCACTCCTGACCAGAAGCTGGTGCATATGCCTCATGGGCGTGTACGTGTATACCGTCTGCCTGTTACGGACCCGGACGGGACTATCCTGATCAGGCATTGACTCCACTGGGGCCAGGAGGTGAGCCGTGGTGTATCTCCTGCGTCTACGATTTTTTGCAGTGATTGCGTTAGCATCCTTGTTACTTTCCTCATCCATTTTAGCTGCTGCTTCCGCTAGGTTTGCGTTCCGAAGTATTTGGATCGCCTGGTAGTTCGGTATGTTAACCCTCGAAGGGGGAGGTTCAAACCGTACGGCTCCTGATCTGTAGTTAGAGGCTCGGTACAATATACGTAGCCCTGCTTCGCCACAGAATTCCTTCTCCCTTCCATGGGTATGAGGGAGGAGGGGAAGTATTCCCCTCGAGTTTCGGAACGATCGCCCGTAACGTGCCTCTGCCTCTAACAGTTCCAACATCCTCTCTGGGTCCAACAGGATGTTGTACAGCCAGAGAAAATCTGATCGGTTCGCGGGGGTCATTACCCACTGCTGGGCCTCCTCTGGGAGGTCTATCTCCAGTTGAGTTCCCACTGTTAGGAACTGTACTCGTAGGTCTGAGAATTCGAGACCGTCTCCCAATATTTCGATCCCCATTGACTCCAATACCTCCCTTAGGACCATAGCTACATCCTCCGGGATACACTCCTGAATTCGAATGACGTCTTCCAGACGCAATGTCATTTCGGACAAGGGTTGTACTGGGAAGTTGGTCCTGCTATGGTGTATTGCGTGTGTACGCTCCCAGTTGGGTGTATTCATAGCTGGGCTCTTCAGGAGACTGGAGAGCGAACTTCCTCGTCTCGGGGGAGGAAGATTAAGGGACTGTACTGGAGGCGTTGGTAACCTCCGGGATGACGTCCGAGATTGTTCGGATACGGCAGGGGATACCCTCCTCTCTGGAGTTTCTCCTGTTGTCGTACTGTGAGAGGGTCAGTACTCCCCCCTTGTATCCTTTCGATAGCGGCTACTTGACCGCTGACTCTTCCACCCGCATTCGAAGCTGACTCCATGTCTAGTTGCGGTACTGGTCCAGGGGGAGGTCCTCTCGTTCCCCAGGTAGGGGAGTATGCGAAACCTCCCATGGGGCTACTGGCAGATTGGGCATAACCCATGGAGGTATACCTCCGTTGTGGTGGTCCCATCCCAGGTTCCACTGGAGGAGGTCCCTGAACCTCGGGTTGACGTCCCTCTGGGGTCCGGATGTTGCTGGCGGTTTCATCCCCAAACGACTGTTCTGGAATGGACATCAGGCGTTGGCCAGCTGCCACCATGATGACAGTGGAGCTAGCAGCCTGGTTCGACTTTTGAGCTTGTGTCGCGTTTCCACAAGATAAGGCACTCTTTTGTTTCTTAGATTCGGTTTTGGAACTAGAAGGTCGTTCCGTTGACGTCGCCGACATTTCGTCGCGACGAGTCCGTTCGGTGACGGGAGAGCTTGGTATAATGTAAGACCTGGGTCAAAATGGGTCTTAGGGTAGGTTTGGTATATGAAGTTTTATGTTATAGCGTGCTAGGAGCAGGCTGGAGCTCGAAGGGAGCTACGAGAACCGCGACCGAGGATGGGAATGACCTAGTAGTGTCTGGAATGATGAGATGATGACCCTTGAGGGGGTCCCTAGGAGGTCCAGGGAGGTCCCTAAGGCGTAGGGAGGTTAAGGAAGAGTGCGGGACCGTACAGTATTGCGTAGTAGGAGTTGTACTCGCTAGAACGTCAATATAGGATCGAGTAGGTCGTATATGCAACTGGGTCTCGAGAGTGTAAGCTCCCGAGAAGGGATATGTCAGGAAGGGTAGGTCCCTGGGGGCTGAGCTTGAGGATGGACGTCCTCGAGTGTGGGAGGTGGTAACGGAGAAGCAATACGTAGTCCGACGTGAGGGGTAGCTTCGACGTTACCTAGATCGAGGTCCCGAAGCTTACGAAGTAGCTAGGGAGCTCTGGGAGGTTTGGGGAAGGGTAGCTCACCAAGGCGGGTAGGCGTTGGGGAGCTTTAGTAATGTTCAAGGGAGCTCGGGGACTCACTCGGAAGGCTTAGACTTGAAGTGAAAGCGTATATTCGATCGTATAGATGATCAGAGAGACAATAGACAGAAGTAGAGAGAAACAGAAGTAGAGAAACAGAGAGTAAAGAGAAATCCGTATGGTTAGCAGGTACAAAGGGACAGGGACTGGACCTATGCAAAAGGGTGTGTGTTCAAAATATACCAAGCTGGCGCTTGGAGACGTTACGGAGCTACTTAAATAGGTATGGGAAGTGAACAAAGGAACATCAGAGCCTAGGGAACATGAGGCAGTAGTCGAGGGAGACATTTGATCGAGATTTGTACTTAATGGGGCTGGTGCTAAGGAGTTTCGTATGCGTGTCGGGAGGTTGTCAGGATAGTCTTGGGGAGGTGCGTAGTACCCGTGGTCCTGTCTTGGGGAGGTGCACTACCTCGGGGATGTCTTGGAGAGGTGTAAGGAAGCATGTGGGATGGTGCTGGGATTGGTTGGTTGTGGTCAGGGCATGACAGAATTACATCTGACGAGGCTAAAGTGAGATTAGTTTTAGAATGGACGGTGGATCTTCAAAGTGCCATGGCATAATCTTGATAGGCAGGCAAAATACTAAACATGGAAATATTTTCATTAAGAAGTTGATACCGAATCGCAATGTCTATCCCATAGGTACATTTGTCCTTATTAATTTATGATTTAAGCTACTTTATCTAACAAGGAGCTTTGCAAAGGTTGTAAATTGATAGACCAAATTCCACTAGCTTGAAAACTTGTAAGTAGCTTCTTTGAACTTGTCTCAACTTGTTTAACTTAGACAAGTTACATATATAACTTTGAACAGAGTCCCAGTACAACTACATGATGTGGAAGTTATGTGGGCAATAAGTATTTTGAAATAATATAGCTTACAACTAGTTTTTTTCAGTTTTTTCTGCACCCAAAGTCCCCTATGCTTCATCTTCTGCCCAGGTATACAATGGTAGGTGCAGATGTGCTTGAGAGTCTGAAAAAACACTCCAATCTATTTGAAAGCCTTTGGTGAATAGATGTGGTAGGACAGGTGCTAAGTCCCTGGTATCGGATACACATAGCACAGATCCCTGCTCTTCTACAGAAGGCTTTCCTGTGAAATGGACAATAAAGTCACAATGATCCGACATGGAATTCAGTGCCATTGCAGTGTCAATGGAACGATGTTGAACATCTTTCCAATAGTGATAGTCTGTCTTGAGGTCATCATCAAGTAGACTGCCGAAGTGTCCAGAAATCAGACCAAACTCAGAATCCTGCAAGGCAGTTGTGGTATTCAAAACTGTAAGTGGCGGAATATTGCTGGAGTAGACCACAGCAGGATCATTGACCAATGCATCAACAGCCTGAAAAATACCATGCACGAGGAAAGTCCTAGGTGAAAGATGACCTGCAATTGACAAGTCACTATATTTCCAAGCAGAGATATGTTGATTAAGGACCGATAAATCAGTTTCCACAACCACCCATTTCGTATCATGTGGCTCCCCTAGCAGCTGAAAAGCAGATTGGAAAGGCAGTAGACCTGATAACATAGCGGCCAGATATTCTCCCATACCCTCCCCACCAGAGACAGATATATGACAACCTATGCTTTGAAGACACATAGCAAATGCCAACTGACTTCTGATCTCATTGTAACAAGGTAACCAATTGTACTGCATAAGCTTATCCAAATGCAGCTTGATTTCTGGATGATAATTGTCTTTGTATTGCAAACTACTTGAGGGGGCTCCAAACCAAATGCCGATCCGTGGCTTTAGAGATATTGGAGATGGTGGAGGGTTCAACCTAGCCTGCCTGAGATTGCTCAAGATCTGTGTATGATTCTGCACATGCCAAGCAGCTCTAATGGCGTGATGGTCTCTTCCTGTAAGTGTGACTTGACAGAAAGGTGCCACTAAGGAAGAGGAAACAGGTGTTTTCTCAAAGAACTTGATATAACTCTCACATAGAGCATGAAAATCACGTGGATTACATGCCGTGACAGCAAATATTGGCAAATTTCGAATGGGAAGTGAATGCGCTTTTGGAGCATATGAGCAGTCGGAAATAATAACATTTGCCAAAGTGCCAGACAACCCAAAAGAGGAAACGGAGCAAAATCTTGGCCATTTTGTTGGGGGGAGAGGAACAGCCCTAGAAGGAATGATGATACTATCAGGAAACTGCTCAATGACCGCATTTAAGGGCCCTGATATTGGTTGAGGGGGGATGATGTTATTTTGAAGACAAAGCAGGCATTTTAGGATACCTGGATTTAATGGTGTTAGTGTTTTTCAGTGATAATTGGTTGATTTAGAGCTCATGTATTAGCCTACCTGCTAGCCCTGCACACTCTTCAGTATGACCAATCACAGCCTTAGAAGATCCAATATACAGGACTCCATTTCTGGTGCTTCCTAGGACATCATTAATAGCTTCTAGCTCAATTGCATCTCCAAGCACAGTTCCAGTACCATGAGCTGGAATTTCAATCAGCGAGAATGTCAATTTTTTTAAATATGGCAAACAGTTACTCTACCTTCCAGGAGTTGTATATCATTTATACTACAATTTGCTGCTGTTAAAGCAGAGTTCAATAACCGCTTTTGAGCGACTGGATTAGGTGCGAAAAATCCCCGTGATTTCCCATCTTGAGAGACTACAGATGTCACTAAAGCTGCATAAGGGAGAGCACGAGCACTTTTCTGCCGTTGTATGACAATTGCGGCAGCACCCTCACTGGCCACAAAGCCATCTGCTGAACTCATAAATGGCTCACATATCCCACGAGGTGAGACCACTCCTAATGATGAGCGCATAAGTGCTGAGGTTGGATGATAATGTGTAGTGGTTGCAATCACAATCGCAGCTTCACAGTCTCCATTTTCAATAGCAAGGCGAGCTTGACTTCAATTAGAAAAAAAAGTACTCTTAAGGTGTTTTCCGTACCTTGATGAAGAGCGATTGCACTACTTGAACAAGCTGATTGAATCCCTATAGCAGGTCCAGTCAAATTGAGAAAGTAAGACAATCTAGCTCCAACAGCATGTGCTGCTGAGCCATGCAATACTGTGGGAAACTCTGTTCCTTGGTGAGCTATGTATGCAGTTGGAGAACACCCATGAAATGACATACCATCTTCAATTTCTTGAAGATTTTTCTCTGGCCAACCGGATTCATTTACAGATGTGAAGACACCCCAGCTCTTGCCACTAAGTGACTTTGGAGGGATTCCCGCATCTTCAATGGCTTGGTAGCCTAGCTGGAGAGCTATTCGAGCATTTGGACTCATGAGATAAGCCTCCGTTGGGGGGATGGAAAAAAATTGAGCAAATGATAGGACATTATCTGTCCATGCACCTCCCAACCACCCAGATGGATACATTTTTGATTCACGTGGGTGATTGTGTGGCCAGCGAGATGATGGTCTAATCTGGGAACAAGAGTTCCTGAATGCCCTAGGATTCATTAAGGCATCCCAAAATGAGTCCAGTGAATTGATTTCACCAGGAAAGCAACAAGAGGCCCCACTGATTACAATAGGTGCATGATCAGAGCTTTGTCCCATTATCAAATCACTCTGTTGTGGAACATAGGGGTCTTCTGATTCAAGTAAGTTGCAGAGTGCCTCTACATTGGTAACTTCATAAAGCCTTGATGGAAGGATATGAACATGGAACTCATCCATGAGAGCCTTGGATATTTGTATAGCAATAGTGGATGAGAATGGTAGGTTCATGAAGTCACTGGCAGGGTCTTCAATGACATCTTTGGGAACTGACAAGATTTGTGAAAGAATAGTGATTACTGTCCCGTAATGCTGTTGAGACTTAATCCTATCCTTTTCTGAGTGCGGGACATGCGACCGCAGCATGGAAGAAGAGAAAGCAGACAGTTTTGGGGGGGCTTTGGGTGGTGGAAAAATAAGTTGAATATTGGTCTCCCCTTCAGAAACATCTTTGAATAGATGTTTGAGCCTTTTTCGATTCAGGGTATATTTGGCTGTGAGTGGAAGATTTGCCACAGGATAGAACTTATCCTGTGCTACCCTTTTCCCATAGGGGTATTGCACATTTAAAGCAAGCAATTTCCTGTGTACAGCAGGCCATGTTGAGATTCCCCCAGTAAGCTGCACCAGTACTATCAAGACATTCCCACCCTGGTCTGCAAGTAGTGCGGATTTTTGCACTCCAGGAACTGTATCGAACTCCTTCTCTCGTTCAAGAGCCTCCACCTTGATACCAGAGGATAAGACTATCACATCATCTACACGGCCAAGATACCTTAAACCTGAGCAATGTTTATGAGTCAAGAGTTGCAATAAATAGCTGAGAGTTCACCTGATAGTGGGCCTAAGGCACTGACTAGCTCCTTGTTAGTTTGATGATTTGAGAGCTTTCTCTCAGTTTTATGGAAGTACAAATCACCAGTGTAATATAGTGTGACCAATGAAGTAGGCTCATACTGGAAACCAATGTTCTCTTTATAATCATACCCGGATGGTAAATACTTTGTGCATGCATGAACTTCTGATCAATGATATTATATTTGAGAAACATACCGGTCCACTGATCACAAGTTCACCAAAGTCGTCTGTTTCTGCTGATTTTTTCAGTGTACCTGAAAGTCCTTGAATAAGCTCCATTCCATTATCCCTTTGCTCAATAACATTGGTGAATCTGATGCAAATGGTTCCAACTGCTTCTGTAGCCCCTGAACAATCAAAGAGTGATATGTTGTTGCTGATAGCCCATTGAAAGACAGATTCTGAAGTTGCTGCCCCTCCAACCCCCAGGGAAGCCAGGGCTTGAAGAACTCCTATGTCATCAACGGTACAGATGGATGTCATATCCAAGAGTATTGCAGGCATGGTTGTGAAAGATGTTACGGGTGAGTGGTGTTTTAACCCATCCAATAGTGATCTTGCAAGGGCCGGGGTAGTTTTGCTTGAAATTAAAGAAGGATTAAAGAAAATATAACTTCCACCACTAGGAATGATGATTCCACTAAAATATATGAGCATGTTTCATACAAAATCATGGGGACCCATACCAAAAGGTGATGCAAAATTCAAAACAATGTGAAAGTGGCAGCCAACCAAGATGCCTTTTAGGCTTACCGCTATACTTTGAGCCACCAAGCATGAGTACTGTTTGGCATGAGGAGAGAAACAGCATTTCTTGTGTATATGAAACACACTTCAACCCTTCCCATGTCACAGCGGAGCTCGTAAATAATGTAAGAGCCGTGTATTTATTGGTAGGATCAGGTGAAATGAGAGTAGAATGAGATATTCCCGATTCTTTTAGCCACTGATGGCAGATATCAATGAGAGGCAAAAGCTGAGTTCGATAATGCATATAGAGGTTGGATGGTAAGATGGCAGCAATGTCAAGCACAAGTGGTTGCCAGATCATATATGAGGAATGTTCCGCCAAAGTGTTCTGTAAGCTTGGCATAAGGTTGTGCTCCACCAAGATTAGATCTGGTTTTGTGAGGTTGATCATCCCCGCCCACATGAACGGCTCTGCTGCAGTGCTCAAAGGAATTGAAGCTGATCCAGTGTACCACAGTGCCAATGTTACAAGAGGTAACATCACATTGTTACGGGTCAATAATGCCACCCGCAATCCTACTGATTTGTCCGCAGCTGTGAGTTGCTGAATCCTTTCAGGAACAAGGATGGAAATCAGGGTATAGGCCTCCCGGTATGTCAACGAGAGGTTCAAATCCTCAATCAAGAAGTCCGAGCTGGGTGCATGACATGCATGATGATACAAGATAGACAAGAGATTTGGCGAAGACATGGGGTACCAATTAGAAAGAAGAGTCACATTTAAGAGTTTTCACAATTATGTAAATCACCAAATTTCTAATGGTAGTACTTTTGATACGAATCTATGACAGGAGAAATCAAAAAATGATGCCAAAACATGACACCTGACTTTGAGGACTCAATAAGTTTGCTGATACTTGTGTTAAGGTACTCTTGGGAACATGTCATATTTTTTCAGTAGGGACCTGGTCATGTGGCAGTAGTAGTGTACTCGGAGGATCCCAGATCACTGCGGCGATGAGATCATTGTTTCACCCCAAAAAGGTCGAATCATTGAGTTTACAGTGCATATGACTCCTCTATCTGGCTTGTTTCATATGTTGCATGAGGTTCAAGATTGATTCCATCACATGAGAGTCAGAATTTTTAGACCAAAAAGGAATTCCAACAAACAGAGGAAAGATTACACAAACTGCCTGAAGGTGAAATTTGTCTCAAAGTACCTAGCAGATATGTGTGACTCTATCTTCAAGCATCCACTCATGATGTGAATTGGGGGATTTGGAAGCACTCTGTCTCCAGTTCTGATGCAGTGCAAATGTCATTCAAGTTGAAAACATCATGTAGTGATTTCCTTCAAAGCGCTCATTGCTGGCAAAAGGATACATCCTTAGTAACTCTGCCAGATGAGCTAAAGGGCCACTATGCAATATTGATGCTTTCCAACAATCAAAATGATTGTTTATGATAATGACTCAGAGTGATGGGGGAATATTGATGCTTCCCAACAACCATCGAGGGCAATGCTACTTGTTATCTCAAAGTATGCTAGAAATGGTTTTCTTTTCACCGGTTAAGTGAAATATTTGGTCATCTGTGGTGATTATGTGGTAGTTCTCAGTGGTGCGTATATAAACAGATCCAAGATTTTTCCCCCATTTACATGATCAGATAGTGCATCAGAGCAGGACCATTGGCCAGTCTCAAGTTCGGCTGAAATACAATGCTTTAGGACTTATTTCATCAAGGACAAATCAATCAATTACATTACATATTCCCAATACAATGGCTTCCCGCTGCAATCTGGCGTTTCACAGGGAGAAAGCATGTTGCTCTTCCTGTAACGCACATCAAAAAGATACTCAAATCGAATAACTACATATTTACAAAGAAAAATATTACCAAACAATCACTCATATTCAACATTACAACGTATCCTCTGCATCAGAAAAAAAGCGGGCCAATGTGGAGACCACATGCAATGCTTTCAAAGGCCCTTTCACATCACTGATGTCCTTATCTGGTTCAAAATCTTGTGTTGGGAGCATCATGGATGCCATGAAAGAAACCGAAACAAGCCGCCTATATTATCCTGTGATGGGTGGCTAGTAATTGTATTCTCAATGACTGATGATCGGGGTACTAATTATGAGTTTGGACAATATCTTATTGGTGTTTACTCTTAGCATATCTTCCAGAATCGAGAAACCATCATGAATGGCATGCTCCCTACAGGCTGTTAAAAGCCATATTGTAGCGGGAAGCTGTTTCTGATATATAGGTCCTGATGTTTCCTTTTGATGTTGATGTCATTAAATATACCCTGATGTCAGTATTTCCCTGCAAATATTCACTCTGTTAGTGTATTGTATCTTCCAGCTGAGCTTTGACATGAGAAACTGTCATGAGTGACATGCTCTCAAAGGCCATATTGCAGCGGAAAGGCGTATTCTCTACCTGTCAAAGGCCATATTGCAATGGAGAGCTGTCACATCTCTTCTGATATGCAGGTCCTGATGTTTTTTTTTTGATGCTGATATTATTGAACATACCCCGATCAACTGATGATCTGTCAATAAATTTTCCAATGATCTATGTCTGTGATACAGTAAGAGACATTTCCATCAAGAGTATAGTATTGCAGTAAGACTTTCCCCGCTGCCACACATCATATGCAATCTTCTATCGTGGCGGAAGTATGTGAAAATTTCACAAGATACTCAAAGGGAAGGATGTGCGTCACAAGATACAGAGAGTTATCAAGCTGTTACTGGAGCAGATCTTCCATGTGTTTGGAATTTTAGGCGGTGTAAGATATATTTGTCAAGCATAAAGACCTGAATGAGATTTGAATCAAGTTACATCTAAGTTTCCACTATGTCGAGCCTACCTAATGCTGAAACCCCGCTTGCATATCTTCAACCAACATTAGCCAGTCAATTTGAAGTTTCTCGCTATCTTCTAGTTGCTACATGTGGAGTGAGTAGTATCCACACTATTTCTTACTTATGTTCACCATAAAACCAGATGTTTTCCTGGGATATTCTGCTCAATTTGCGGAATGACTACCGGTTAGTTTCTAAGCATGCACTGCGCCTCCCTACATTGGTGTACTTCATATCAAGGTGAAGGCTTGAGTGCTTTGTCTATAACATATAACTCAAAGCAATTTTGCTCTAGGATTGCAGCTTTTGCATACATCATCACTGGGACAGTTTTCACAAGTGAGCTTATGCTTACCTTACAACTCATAACTGTATTGAGCATGGATAATGGTAGTTGGTGCTGTGGGAAATTGCCAAGCATTACAGGTTGCAATTGGTTGTTGCTTTGCAGTTGCTGTTCCAGCAACTTCGCTCCTTTTCTTCCTTAGAGTAAGAGCCATATTCAATGGTGACACAGTTGCAGTGATATTTTTTGGTTCCCTTTGGCTCGCAACACTTGGAGGCTCAATCACTGTCCCTTTTGCCATTAACGGTGCTCATATCGGCCCAACCAATCACTGTATTAACACTGGTGTCAAGCCATTCAGCTCTGTTGGAATCATTATATCCACAGTCAATGATACACTGATTTTCATTGCTATCTCGTGGCGTCTGTTGCAAGCAACCACATATGATGACTCTTGGAAAGGTCGTTTGAGATCATTCATCAAGGGGAAAGGTCTTCCAGCATTCTCTCAATCTCTTCTACAAAGTGGGCAGGAGTACTATCTGTTTGTGAATTTCTATTTGCACTCTGGATACAATCACTGAACTCTCATAGTGTTACAGTGGGAGGGAATATCCTTACCATGGGGATGATTTTGGCCCCAGCATCTCTTCCAGCAGTTTTTCATGCAATGTTCACAGTACCTAATATTGCTATTGGGAACTCCATGGCCTGCAGAGTTTTCCGGGATATCAAATTTGGACATATCAATGCTACATCCACACTGGGAAGTACCACCCAAAACAGGAATACTCTTCCCTCATTTGTGGCTGCTCATTCTCCCCCAGCTCAGCAAAATCATGGAATAAATAAGTGGCTTCACGGTAGCCCGGGATTATCCTCTGACATAGAATCTTTTCCAACTTACAATGGGGTACCTGTACACAGCGAGCCCATCCAAAGTCTCAAGTCTACCCAGAGTGTCACTGGTGAGGACATTCCCATGGCAGTTATCTTGACTTAAAACATGCAATAAGTAAGTGATCAATTTTAATCAATGAATGCATGACATGGTTCACATTAGGTCAAGCTTACGTACTTATTGTCTTGTACATAAGACATATCATGTTCTTTTGTACAACCCAATGCTAAATTATGTCTCTACATTAGTCTTTGGGTGTGTTGATGAGATCCATAGAGTGCTAATATACTAAGTTTTTGGAAGTTGCCTGTTTATGGATGTTTTCTTGTATATGATATCCTGATAGTGTGGCTTTTACCTGTAAATCTTATATATTCAGCTGAGGGCTGAGAGCAGATTCTAGTGCCGAAAGCACCAGAAGCAGTATTCTTCGAGTGCTTTTGCTACTGAGAAATTGTTAAGATCATGTACACCGTGTAACCGTGCCAGAGGCCACAAGGTGTCTAAGAGCGGAGGGTTGAATGGGACAGTAGTGAAGTTATTAACAACACCGCCGTTATGCCGTCAGTCCCCAGAGATCGAGAATAGAGAAGGTGAGAACCAGGAGCAGCCAAGTCGGAATGGCAGTAACGCCGACGACGGGGAGCAAACCAAAGAACTTATAAGTCCTAAGGTCAGAGTAAGGAGGACTTCAAGGCGATGAGCCTGAAGACTTAAAAGCGAGAGACGAAGATCTAATGATCTAAGTTAGAGAGGACGATCTACGTTGATAATTAAACTGAGGAACTACAGTATCATACAGGCAGTATTTATATCTACGGATCGGTGCATCAGTGTGGAGTGCCAGACTAACTACTAGGAGCTATATGTGTAGTACCTGCAGGGTAGAGAAAAAGACAATAAGGAGAGACTAGAATGAATGGGTATGTGTAGTGAGAAAGAACAATAAGAAGAAGATTACAATAAACGGCAGATCTCGGAATACCGAGCAGCGGAGCGGGGCACCGAGGCATGGGCTTGACAGAAATGCTCTGAACTGCTTTTGGACCCTTCACCAAAAATGCAGATTTTCCAGATGTTTATATATGTGAACAAAAGAACTTGTTTCATTAAATTGTTAACCCTGTCTCCATTCAATCAAGCTCATAGTGAAATGAAGAATTTGTCCTTATGGATGTCAGTTTCACTGAGTTTGCTTCTGAAGCTTTCCTGTATTAAGTGAAAAGTAGCTGAGAGAATTTCCCAGCAGTGAGAACACCCAGAGCATACAGCTTACGGTATTCTCAGTGCTAGGATCTGCTCTCAGTTTAGTCAAACTTCTAGGGTTTCCAGATGCTTTTTGCTTTTAAGAACCCTCAAATCAGACCACTGGGACATCACATTAGTGTAGAGTCTGGTACAACATCACAGTTAGTACTACAATATATGTTGGCTATGCTTATTTTTTGCTATGCAATACACTTGAAACCCACTGCTTTGCATGCAGGTGTCTTGACTAAGGTATATCCTAGGTGGTCTTTGTGGTCCTCATAACTAGGTTGACCTAGATAGCTTAAAAACATACTTACTACAGATCCACAAATTCCTCTTGCATTTATAAATGTAGGTATACTCAGCATCCTTCAACAAATAATTAAACAATGTAGTTTCTGTCAACAGATTTATGTCAGTTTTACCAACTCTATGAATACGGTTCTTTTGACGAGGTGTGCAGCTTTTCACTCTGTAATGGCATCCTCCTCAATAGGATGAGTGCACTGGTTGTTAATACTGCATTAAATGCAAATAGGAACCAGAATCCGGCGGCTCTTCCTTCAAAGCTTGTTGGTCCTCCATGATTTTTCTCAACACTTGTTTGAATAGCTGTAATGATTGCAGCACCTGCAGCAGAGCCCAGTTGCAGTGCACACATGAAGATTGCTCCGACAACTCCTGCAACATTTGGAGGTGTTACAGCAAATATAGCAATACTTGGGAGGGGAAAGCCAAACACAATAGTCAGGCAGATGTAGTACATAGAGATGTTAGCAATCTTACTTTGTGGTTGCAAAAACTATAGTCATTCCCGTTGTGCCAATGAAGAAACCAGGAAATGCAAACCGCCAAAATTGTTCTTTGGAATCAGCAAAAGGGAACAGAGATGTTCCTACAAGGACCAAAACATCCCCAATCAAAATGACCTGTGTGAATGGCAATTTTTGCTGCAAAATTGAGGCAATCCCCATGACTGGAAAGGACATCAAACCCAAAGGAAGGCTAGAATAATCTGAGTGTATTGCAAATATGATAGTTTTCAACAACGTACAATCTAATTGCAACATTGATTGTGGACCACTGGAAGACCTCTTGATAATACCAGGAAAAAAGGAGCTGTACCGAAGCCCACCACATGAATGGCTGTAGTCCAATAGCTGTCAGAATTGGAAAATTAGGGTGTCGCCAAATAGACAGTGGCCTAATTTATACTCTCAGCATAGAAAGTGATGTGTGAATACAAACTTTACACTGAAGCAAGTTCCTCTGGCAAGTATCTTTCCCATAAGGCAAAAACAACAATGAGAAGCCCTGAGGCTACCAGTGGAATCAGTGTTCGAGGAGAGGGCCAGCCGGAAATTGATCCTGATGTTACAGCAAAGACAAACAGTACCAGAGCAACTTGGTCCTGCAATGAGAGTCATGTCCTAATGTAGAGATTGGTTTAACACCAACCAGTCAATATTCCTATTCCTGGAATATCCAAACGTTGGAACTGACTATACTGATTAACAGCGGATCGATATTGCACTCTTGAGGATGGTAGCAGAACCAAAACCAGAGTTGCAATCACTGCACTCAATATAGCTGCTAAATACAGAATCCAAGGCCAAGATGCAAAGGTGACAAGACTGGCTCCAATAATTAAACCAAATACTATGAAATTGATTACATATTAGTGACAGAGTAATGGGCCTTGCAAGTAACTACACACCATTTCCAATGGCTGCGCCAGCTGCAAAAGCAGCAAGTGCCCGAGATTGAGGCACAGGATCAGGAAACATGGAAATGACCAATGCCATAGCTGATGGTATGTTTAGTGCAGCACCTACAAAGAGGTCATCAATGCATTCATGAAAGTCTCAGAAGAGATTACCCAGTCCCATGAATGCTCTAAGAACCATCAGTGGTATCTCAGTCCGTACAAATCCCGCACCCAATGAGCAAAATGACATGAGTAGCATTCCTGAAACAAAGACATAGGCTGTTTACAATGCATTAAGCAATATGAAAAACATTTCTGGGAGACATCATACTAGGGTTGTAAACATCGCTAAGGCGACCACTCTGATAAATCATGAGAATTGAAACAACTTGTGAACCACATATAGTACTTACACTCAAAAGGAACGCCGCAAATGTCAGTTGATATGCACTGATAAGCCAAACTGAATCACTATTGTCAATGTGCAATTGGGAAGCAATTGGAGGTATTGCCGCAAAAAAAGAGGAGTTATTGAAAGCATCCAGGAATTGGGTGAAGCAGAGCACAATGAGGAGCACCACCCTCAAGGCTTTAGGTTGATTAGCAAGGGCATTCAAGGGATTAGAAGATGTGTTGGCTGACATGCTACTTTTTTTATGAGACATGCATCCGTTTGGAAAAACACACATTTGACACTCTGCTTATATACAAAGAGCCCCGAGTATCGGGCAACCCACACCAAGGGTTTGGGCACCAATCAAACAATACATACATGACACACATACACATGATCAACACTACAAAAAATTAATTCTTTGTTCCTGCTTGGTCCAATGATTCCGATTAGCTCGACAAATTTTGTCTTAACATGAATATAACATCACAGGTGAAGGAAGCAAGTGGGCAGAGCAGAACAACGCCCTGAGCGTAAGTGAGCCGTTGGATGCGCATCGCACGGGTTACTGCTAGTAGAAAACAAAGAATCATTTCTGATGTTGATCATACCGTGTCTTAATTTACCTTGGTTTGTGAAAAGGTGTGTCACCTAGTTCAGTCAAGCATAGCTTATGCATTGAAATGTCCTTTTGCCTCCTCTAAACAGCTCTCATTGCCCTAAACCATATATTTGGACGGCACATCATCGCCCCTATGGTGAATTATAACAAGCAAGAACCGGACCTTTCAACGCTGCGGCAGTCCCCGATTTCAAAAATGAATATTTGATTGAATGACCTCAAAGATATCAGTGCAATACCTCAGAGGATCATGAAAGAGCTGAAGCAAGATAAAAGTGCACTTCAGGAAGGGATAATAGGTCAAGTATAAGCAAGTACATCCACGTACATCAATAAATACATCATGACCTTTGTTGCGCTAGAGGTGGGGGTCAAATTCTACTTCAGAGCGCGTTCTCAGAGTTGTAATGCATCAGAAAACCTGGAAGGCACTGCGTGTCATTTTACCCATGACTTTTGATCATGATTTGATCGTGATTTGATGCATACAACTTCCGCTTTCAGAGTGGGTGATTCCATTTCATTTTGATCTGACTTCCAGATCAATCATCATGGATGTCTTGTGTGAATAATGTAATATGATCAACCAATTGAATCTCTCTCCATTGGATTGTACACAGATCTCGGATTATTGCTGAGACCCATATTGTTCAGCACATCAACATCCCACCATTATTACCCAATTCCTTATCTATGTGAGTTAGCTATTTTTGGTAGTAGAACATGCCGCTCTTTCTGGGTCAATGGCACTGCATGAGTGCTGCTCATATGTGTATCACAAGGTAAATGTTTCATGTTTTCTTTCTTCATAAGGTTGCAGGTTTTACAGTGGAAGTCTCTGCTTTAGTTTTGCAAGCCTCAATGGTAGTGAAATGAGATTCCTGGTATATTTCAAGCATGAGTGAACACGGATGTGTGAATTTCATTTGCTATGTCACCACTGTCAATTGCCAGCACAAAAGCAATGAAATCAGCCTCCAAGAGTTACTTTCAATACTCTGACTGCTATCATGATCATCTGGGTTTTGCAGTGTATAGTATTGGAATCACTTAATCTTCATGGACCCATTTGAACCTCATATAAATTTCCCCAAATATAATCTTTGCTGTGAGATAGGTTTCTATACCTCAAGAATGTCTTTATATCCTGACAGCACTAATGATTATTGTTGTATAACTACTGTGTCCTAAACTGTGCAATTGAAAAATCAGACAATGAAGATACTATCACTAAATTCCAGTTCTGATGCCTATATAAACTTGCATACAATTATGGGCACCAACCTGTAAGTCTTTCACTTGGACAATGGAGTAATTGTTGTTCTAGTAGAATAATTATGTACCACAAATCTAAAGCTCACGCAATTTTCCGGATATAGTATATAGCAATGAATGATTTATGAGAAACAAGTGTCAGTTCCAAACTGGAGCCATCCAAAGGTAAATATTTCGAATCATATAGTCACTTAAGTATGCAAGGTCCGGTGGACATACTCATATCAATCAATAGCTGAAGTTATTTGTGACTTCATATTCATATATAGGTAAAGATAGTATAGTTCATATGAGGATCTGCATTTGTACTGGTCAAAGTGTAAAATACAACATTTACAAGTAACCAGAATACTGTCAGGAGTACCTGAGAGGCTAGATGAAAAGTAGAGAAATTCCTCAAGTTAAACTGCTATTCACCTTGTAGAGCCATTAACTTGGCCGCTTCGAAGTAAAAAAGTTCCTTTTATGGCCACCTCCGACGTACAAAAGGTAATAAACTCCAATTTTGAATGGGACGTAGGAATCTTCATACTTTCACAAGTCCCAACTGTCCTCGTTCTAGTCTAACAACATAGCCATTGAGAACCTCAGAAGTGAAGCTTTCCGGACTAGTATCATTTCTGAGAATCTTCAATGCATTGATCCTCCTCAATACAGCTTTAGCATCACCATCATCTGCCTCAATGACCTTGTCAAGCTCATCAGGGCCCATAACAGGACCTGAGAGTAGGGTGAGCTCTGCATTTCGCCTGTGTACTTCATTGTACTGTTCATGGCTTGTGGGTGTAAAGAGATTACGTGTGAAGTCAATCAGAGTTGACAGCTGACTGTCTGTGAGTGTTGAGGTTGTATCACTCTCCCCTTGATAAACTGAACTAATGTCAACCAATGAAGTCAGTGATGATCCATGGAGTCAAACTAACCTGGTCGAAAGAGATTGAAAGCTGTTTCAAAATGGCTATGGTTGATATCTCCAACTATGGCTCTATTTCCACCACCATGTTGCATTTGTTTGTAGGCACTTAGAACTATCAAAAGGAACCTACAGCCCAAATTCAATGTTATTCTTGTATTGCACTCAATGTACTGACCTTGTTTGACAGACCCCAACCTTTGCATCATGCCATGCTTGTGCTTCCAGCTCTGTTACTTGCCCCTTCATTGAACCAAGTATCGTGCTGACTGCGGACAGTGCTCCGGTCATTGCAGAGTGAACACCAGATGAGAACAATGGGTCAACAAATGCTGAGATATTTTCAATAACATTAAGGAATGGCAATAGCACAAACATGTGGTTGCATTCACCTGCAGCATCACCGATAATTCGATAATGATCTCCGGAGTAGGAGGTAGCATGATAACTATAATCTGATGTCATCTTAATGCTTCCATTAACAAAATACCCCTTTGTTCCTATCAAAGCTTGAACTCCTGGAGCCAGTTTTAACTGCTGAAAGTAGTGATTTTTCAAGCTATTGAGCTGACCAAGCCTCTTTGACTTTGAGGTCTCCTCATGCATTACAACCCCGATCGAGGTCATTCCGTTATGCAAAGGAATTAACCATGCCCATCCAAGCTTATCTGTAGAAATTCATTCAACAAGAGCCAAGAAACATTGGGTAGAACTATCTTGACCTGTGAGGCATTCAAACCAGGGTGCATTTGATCGTGGCCCACCTTCATTGAATGCAGTCACATTCTTCCAATAACCATAAAGTGCAACGTTACACAATCCCTCACGAAAGATCCGGTTTCTGAGATATTTTGTACTCAGTATGCCTTCCCTGCCTGAAGCATCAATGAGCCAATCAAAAGTGATCTTTCCAGTACGTCCTGACTTGTGAGTCCATGTGGCTGAAACCGGACGAGATGAATGAGCTTCCATGGGTTGGAAGTATACCTCATTCACCCGAGTCTCCTCAAACACAAGGACACCCTGGGAAGCAGCATGCTGCAACATGATTTCATCAGCTTCGGCTCGGAGCTAAATGCATGCCTCAACTAAGTCCCTTCATCAGTTTTATCTGTGTTACTTACTACATTCCATGTTGTCCGATCAGGACCAAGGATATTGAAATCAGTGTCTGTTGTCAGATGAACAGATTAACCTGCCTAAAAGGTCACAATAGTGGTGCACGTACAACACTCCCTTTCACCCTGGACAAACTTGAATGCTGCACCAGGCTACAGAAAGTTATTTTGCACATTTGTAGTCAAAATTATGCTACTACTTGCCTTGTGCACAAAGCCTCGACGGTCATATTCATGCTCCAAATCAATGAAACGGAGATAATGCCGCATTGACGGCAGCATACTCTCTCCAACATGCTCTCTGCCAGCCAGTGTGAGCTATAAGCATTGGTGTCAGCAATAAGCAGACGTGCCTTGGGTGCTTGGCAGCCTCCAGCAGCGCTACATTGATTCCTTCACGAGCAAGAAGTGTGGATGCATAACTTCCCCCAGGTCCACCGCCAATGACCAACACTGTTGTGTGCTAAGATATTAGGAATAAGCTATACTCAGTGTATGGAAGGAGGAGCTATTATACCATTTGTGAATCCATGGTAATAACTGGCTAATGCAGCAACTGGGCTGAAAACAAAGGTATCGACGGTATATATACTCAAATGAACTCCTCAAAAGATTAATGAAGTTAATTAATAATCCAACACTGACACTATTCAGTCAGGTGTCTGGTATGATATGATGAGTACACTGGCAATTATTTTTGGCAAAGGAAAGTTGCAATTATGTCGCAGTGAATGACATAGGTAGGTAACACATTTAATTCATGGTTTTATTCATCCCACGACTGTCACGGATGATTCTCACACATGATGCTCACTAGATTGGGGCAGTCCTTTTGATTCGCCATAGCTTTTGCAGCCTTATGTTTTAAATCATAACTTCTGTCATGCAATGAGTAATGATCATGGGCTTAGCTTGTACCCTTCAGATTGCCGCAAAACATTTGATTCATTTAGGTCAAGAATCATCAGACTTTTAAGATGGCACCTGATATATCAACCAACATTACTCATGCCACTGTTCTGCTACATTTTGGGTACAAAGGGAATTGTACCGACAAAGGAAATCAGAAATATAAGTTAGCGGATTGGTACCAAACAACAGCTAGATGTCTCAGAAACATCAGTCTTTTCAGTTCCTAGGTACCGCTGGCTGTGATTGGAGAAGGGAACTGTTTGATGTCAAAATATATCCATTTGATTATTCCCACCTCCAATGATGGTCCCATGGATTACCCATGGAGACATGATATAGCATTTTCATCAGACAGAGAAAGCCTTATATAAAAATCTCCCTTGGAGTGATCCAGTGGAAAAATGCAAAGGAGATTGAATGAAATGTCTC